TAGGATCGCCTGATTCCGAATATGTGCTTTCCAATCGTTAAATATCACTGAGAGAGAACAAAGAATCACGGTTACATGCAAAGGTAGTTCGTTGGGTGGTACTCCATACACATTTCGTGTAGTTCAACTTTCTCTCGAACGACTCGATCTCAAAATAGACATACACCATTCGATAGAGAATTTTCAGGGCTACATTTTGCACTATCTATTTTTGAAAAACGAATAACTTTGCTTTTCTGCCTAATTTCCGCCTGGATGCCCACTGTGTGACACGTCTACACCGATAGCGAAAAGTTGCGAAAAGTTTCCTGTCCCGAGCTATTGATTTTCCAAAAAACCCTCGGTTTTTCAGTTATTTTCTATTTTTCTCGGGCTAAAATGTTTCAAAATTTTAAATTTCTTTCAAATTTTCCAATCAGACTCAAGCCTATAAAAAAATTTCATGTAGGCTTTCGAGCATGCCCATTCCAATAGCGCTGCTTTCAAAGTCCAAAAACAGTTTTTATGAGGTTTTCCAAAGAGTTGGTCTCTGGGAAACCTTTAAGAACCGTTTTTGAACTTTGAAAGCAGTGCTATTGGAATGGGCATGCTCGAAAGCCTACATGAAAAATTTTGTAGACCTGTACTCTGCCTTAAAGAGATATGCTCGCCTGCCTAGCCAAAAATGCACACTGTGAGCTATAACCATTAGGCATCAAAAGTTCATCCTTGAACAGGTAGGTTCAAGAAAGGAAATATTCTGAAGCTATAAAAATTGAAGTATAAAGTAACTAAGTATAAAAATTTCCTTAGTTATATGTAAGGAAAAGTGTGAAACAAAACGGTGATCCAAGAATTATCAAGATCTTGGTGCAAGAACTCAAGAAATTTCAAGACGTTCAAGATCTTCAATTCTTGATAGTTCTTGAATTTCTTCCGTTTCTTGCCGGGTTCTTGAGCAGTAGCCAGTTTCTTAAAAAATTAAGTAAAAAATTCGTCTTCAGTCAAATTTTTTACGTAAGTGTGTTTCTCAAACATTACTTAAGTTAAGGCCTCGATCTCACTTAAGTTTTTAAGTAGGAAATTGTTTAAATTTTGTAATTTCTTTATTTGTAGTCCGTAACCCATCCAACTCACCATAATCAGACCAAACATAATTTTTCAGAGATTTTGTTCAGAAAATTGCTGTAAAATAATCTAAGTTGTCTGAAATACGAATGGTTTTTACTACATGACCTTTGTCTGACTGAAGTTTTTTTAAGAAACTGATCCACAGAGCTGGGCAACTTAACTTCGGAGTTGAGCGTCTTTTTTTGCGGAGTTGGAGTTTGCTTTTTAAACGACCGGAGTTGAGTTGACAGATTTTGTCAACTCCAACTCCGAAACTCCTGTTCAAAATTTCTTCAACCCTTTTCTTCGGGAGAGTTCTTTTTGTTTGGTTTTTATCTATTTTTGTCGCAAGGGATATAAACAGCACATACTATAACAGATCATACACTTCACATCTCGGACGAATTAAAAACAGGAAGGAAGAAAGAACGAATAGATTTCAACTTGAAGTTGAAATGGAGTTGGAGTTGAAGCTTTAGATTTCTTAGTGGAGTTGGAATTGCATATAGCCGGGTGTCCCACCTCTGTTGTTGAATCAAGATCTTACTGAAAAAACCAAGAAGTCAAGATCTTGGTTACAAAAAGTTTCGCTAGGGATCACATTTTTGCTGCCATGGCCAGAAGAGGTCACTAGGGATCACTAGATAATTGGTGGATGCAAGTAACAGTTCAGCATTTCAGGAATCTGGTCAAACTTAAAACTTAATCGAAACTCTACTTTACTTACTCACAGTATAGTTGCACTTCAAATGTTTTTTCTCCTTAATTTTCTTACGGACATCTATGGTTTTCAGCCATTTGCTTCTCAATGTACCAGTACGAATTAAAATAAAGGTCACTCGTTCGGTCGTCGTTCCGTATCGCATATACATAAGGGATCGCTTCATCACTATTATCTTGTATTCTTCAGTTCAGAAACTTAAGTACTCAGAGTACTAAAGTCAATGTTTAGCTGCTTTCAGTGTATTGTTTAAAGCAACTGAGCTTACTTAAATTTAAGAGTTAATCAACAAAATTAATTAAACTATCCTCTGATTTATTTGACTATGCCCATGCAATAAATTTATTTACGTTATTAAATTTTGATATATGGTAAGTCTTTTCTAAAGCATGAGAGAGTGGCGAGTGATGAATTTGTTTCGTAAGCACTATATAGCACAAGAAAAGATATTTTATACTAAAGTTCACTTCCATTTTAGATTATGGCTTCATCACAACATAATATTTCAAAAAAACCTTCCTCTCATATTCGTGATCAATCAAATCCTGATAGTTCTGATTCGGAACATTATGATTCTGATTCAAAAATAACAACAACACCCAGTGGTTCACATAAACATCGCGGGTAATAGAAACAAAATACATTTCACTTTCACACACGCTAAATATTTTCCATAAATACTTTAGATCTAAACGCAACAACAACAAAATGAAGCCATGTTTAGTCCATAAGACATCAACTAGTGACGAAGAAATGCCAACGTCTCGTGGAATTCTTAAAGTGACTAGTGGTAAGACGTTTTGAATTAAAAAAAATTACTTAACAAATGAGAAAGTGTGCAGTAGAAGGCAAAGAAAAGCTCGGATCGACCTAAAATATAATAAAACAGGTTTTGTTGAATTATATGTTTTTTAGGTTCAACAAGTCCTGAACTTCAGTTACCCACAACAAAACAGCACAAATCAAAAAATAAATCCAAATCTGTTTCTCCTTCCCCACCTCGAACTGAATCAACGCCTACTCATCACCATCACAAATATCGTAGTAGTAATAACAACACTAATTCCAATCAAAATAGTCAAACTCTTACAAGTGCCACATCCAGTTTAGCAACATCTACTTCTACTACAACGACTACAACAGCAAC